TTTAGACTAATGAATTGAATTCTTAGACTAAAAAAAAGAGACATTGAGCACTAGCAACACAGGCTATCGGTTCTAATTTAAATAAATGGATATTAGATAATAAGCTTAGTAGTATTAATAAAGTAAAATATTGAATTGATATTCTGTTCTGAAGTTGATTGTAGAATGTTCAAAGGGTTAATCGTTCCAAATGCAATACTTCTAGCCAAGGAAAAGTTGAGGCAGTCGCAGAGAATGTTCTTTATAGTAAGAGTTTGTCCACAACAGCAGATTGGGGGAGAAGACTTCTTCAGGATCCATTGGTGAGTTGCAATTGTATGACCAAGGCGAATTCTTGAAAATGTTTGGATCTTGGTTTTCTCAACATTTGTTGGATATAGAGGTGGAGTTAATTGAGGGTTAATGCAAGAGTAGTGTTGATGATGGTATTGTAAATTTCCTTCTGCAATTTTCTCTTTAACTTTTCTTCCAATGTATCTTTGAAGATCCAACTTTTCCATGACATCATCCATTTATAATAATAACGATATATAAATAAAATCCTCATTTATAAGTAAGATGCGTACATATAACGTAAAAACATAAAAACTATATATATAACAAATAAATAAAAAATATTATGGCTTGTTGCGCGGCTGTTATTAACATCTTCATCTGCAAAAGGAAAATAATGTAGTTACAAAATTTTATATATTATAATCATAACTAAAGATATATACGAGTTACCTTGACGTATAGTGAACCTTGGCTTATGGGAGATTGGCGACGGCGCATCGTTCCTTCTTTATCTGTAAAGAAAAATTAGAATACAAGTTAATAACGTATCAACATTTTTATGCTAAATTTGAATTATATCAGTAAAAAGACACTTTATGGTCAATAGACTCCCTGCAGTTTTTGGTTTTAGCAGCATAAATAGGATGAAACCAAGCAAATTTCGTCGGTGCATCCTGCCGTTAATACATGATCCATCTGATTTAAAGAAGTTAATATTCGCTACCACTGTAGCTTGTATGCGTTTTCCTATATCTGCCTCGAGCATACAAATTACATATCCAGCGCAGAATGCATGATTTACTTCTGTTTGTGGGAATGCCGGTTTGATATGTTTGGTGGTTAGGATGGTGTTGTTTATGGGGTCTTTCGTCATCTTTTCATCCATCACCTCCTTGCAAAAGTCGCGATCCTGTGATTGCAACTTAGCTGCTCACAGATATAGTGACTTAATCCGAAAGCCATGTACAATCTCAGAAATCTTATTTCGTGGTATTTAAGTTGAGGTTTTTCAAGATTTTTAAATACCTTTCCTTCGGTGCGTAGTCTTCTTCGGGCCCTTCTTCAATTTCGTAGTCAAGGCTGTTTGTTATCCGGTAGTCATTGGCCGTTTGAAATCCGGTTTTGTACTTGAAGACCTGTAGATTTCCCAGGCGGTTGCACAACTGCAAGATTTCGATGAAACGTCAGTCCCCACTATGTTGTCTCCTGAGTGGGTCACAATGTTATCTTCTTCCCTCCCTACTTCTATTGGTACTGACGCCTGATAGATTTTGGCAGTCGCGTATATGTCCTTTTATAGTCCTTACCGCCCACGCCAGCTCCAATTTACGCGCATACGAAATGTAGTCCGCGTTTTCTGTCAACCCGTTTTTAACTTTACCTAAATTTTCCTAACCACGTCTTGGGTGGTAACTAACCCCCAATTTCCCAACGACATCTTTCTTACAATACAATATACAAAGTTTCAGGTGCAATGCCTATTTATTGGATTACTTCCTCAATTTCAGTCCAACTAATTTCGTCATTTTGAGTTAAATTTTTCTGTCTGATGATAGTATTGCAGACCTCAAAATCCCTGATTACAACTCCGCTTATAAATGCAGAAGTCTATAGAGGAATAGCTATTCTAGCTAGGAAAGGCATCTTCAAACAAATTCCCTTCAAATCAGTTGCTGATATTCTAATTGTTAAAACTTCTTCTCTAAAGCAAAATATAGCTATTATAATCTCATTTTTGCAGGAGATTTTAACGCAAGACAACCTTGCTTTAGTGACTTTTTGTCAAACAATAAGAGAAAAGCTTTGTGTGAAAGTATAGAATTCAGTAATTTCTACTGTCTTAACGATAATACTCTGACCTACTTACACTCTACCATTTCTAATGGTTGTGGCAGTGTTTTGATTAACTTCTTACCGATTGGATTTTTCAAACGACACCCTTTGACGCATTACTATAGCCAAGAAATACACATCCTTTAGATTTTATTTTATATTTACCTCTTATAGGCTTCTTCTTCTTCTTTCGTCAATTGTTCTAGACATATACCTATTTCTTATATTGTTGGTTTGAAATTCGCATACAACGTGCCATTTCTGCATTTGTTCTATTTTTCCTTATAGTCACTCCGTTTTGTTGAGGTGTGTACATAACATTGTCATACTTTTGTGTTCTCTGAATACATCAAATAATTCACTTTCGATTTTTATTATATATATATATATATATATATATATCTTACCACCTACTATGGTCATCTATGAGGATGACAAAATATTTTCCCCCTCATTAGGACGTTTCGCTCGAAATGTTCCCGGTTTCAGAAATTGTGCTTGATTTTGCTTGCGTTGAATGTATATTTCACAACTTTGAACTTTTTCATTCAGATCAGCTAATATTATCATTAAACACCATGTAAGTCCTAGGCTGTATCATAATAAGGTACTTTTCATTAAGATGTGCCATACTTTTATTGAATTTGGCATATTTATAAACTTTCCCTCCTCGTAATTTCATAATGAAATGTTTATCATAAAATTTTACAACTTTCGATACAGCATGATACATATTAAGACATTTTTTTAGCGTTTTTACCCAAGAGCAAAATCTATTACACATGGATGGGGCCAGAGATTACTTTTGCGAGCAGTAAAAGGAGAATTAACAGGAAATATTCAAAAATATGCGAAAATCGAAAGGCAGGTCTCGAAAAATTTACTAAAACTATTCATAATGCGTTTTTTTTTTTTTTTTTTTTTGTTGGTATGTTGAACAGAGATGGACTAAGCCAATGGACTTGTGGCTTATATGTCCAAATAATAAATTGTTGTAATTTTTAGTCACAAGTATGTATAAAACGTAACAAAAAAAAAAAAAAAAGATCGGCCGTAATAACTGGAGTGAGCATGTTAAATGTAATTGTGTGTGTGTGTAAGTGTGCTTGTTGAGTTCTTGAAAGTCAGACAGTGTTGCAAACTTTGTCTAAAAACGAAAAGGAATGTTATGGTAATTGAAAATGATTGAACGCAAAAAAAGAAAAAAAAAAAAAAGGAAAGAGGAGGAAAAAGAAAAATTCTAAAAGGATAAATTGGCTTTTCTAATAAAGCAAGTTAGTTCCCCGAGATGACGTACGTTTTTTGCTGCAAAGAGATCGAGGAGACAGAAGAAGAAGAAGGAGGAAAGGAATGTCTAATGCCACCAAGCCTGTGACATCTGAAGATTAGATGCTCAGCAGACTCAACAACATTGCAAACTTCGCAAACATCACATGGTATAGCGCGAATCATTTTTAAATAAACTTTGTCATAAGTATGACCACTCGTGAGTCTATAAAGAATTTTCATTTCCCAGGAATTAAAAGAAGATACAGAGAAGGGTTTGAATTGAAATGTGGGATTTAATTTATAGAAAAGACGATTGGATTTAACGCGCGCGATTACTTTAAATTCGTCGTTTAGCTGTTGAAATCAGAATGCGTTCGAGGGAAGATAAATACTCTCTTTTTTACACTTATATATATAAGATTGCAAATTATATAATGCGTTGGCGTTTCAGACTAGAAAAGCGTGATTGACCATTCCTTACTTATTACATCATATCATACCATGGCTGAAAGATAGTTTTCATTTAATTATTCAATTCTCTTTAGTAGATGCGGCATATGAAAACTTACATTAATAACAGTTAAAATGGACGTTTATATGTGCGAATACTTTCGCCCAGTAAACCAGCTAGTCACTTTTCAATCCAATCATGCGCTTTTTAGTTTTATGATTTTATGACAAATATCTTTCACTATTTGGGAGCATTCGTCACGTCTTTCACGTCTTCTATTAAGTACATTCCCAAGACCTTAATAAAGCCTCTTCATTTAATTTTTGAAAAAATTTTAAATAGTAAAAAAAAAAATTCTTTACTTCTTTCTTGACGATCTAATTTATCTGCGCTCAAAATTGAAATGACCAATTGTATGAAAGAGAGAAAGAAATACACGTCTGCAAAATTTCTGCTAATTTGCAAAAACCGTTATCAGCTTTCATTGTTATATGAAAACACATAGTTATTAAAAAAGAAATAGCAAAATTGAAAAGCATTGCCATCCTAAATACTTCTCTTGACAGTGGTACGGTGATGAAACAAAATGTGAAAATGAAAAAATTTGTACTTATTTTAGTTTTTTTTTTCTTTTTTAGGATTCTCATTTCTCAGGAGTACTGACATCTGTTCAGGAACTTATTGATAAAGGTTGTATACGCTGGCGAAATATCAATGAATTTATAGATAAATCAAAATCGGTCGTAAAGTTTTACCGTGCCTATTGCAACTTTAATACAAGAGCCCGAATACGACGATAAGTAAACGCAATCAGGAGCTTCCAGGAGCAGGTCAGAATGGCTAAGGGCACATATGCCCAAAAGCATTCCAATTAATGGGATACAATATTTTTATGCGTGCTACAAAGGATGAACTAATTTGATGTTTTTTAGGAAAAATGGCACAAGAGATTATATTCGTTTTTTTATTATACAAACAAAATTTTGTTATTGCAATTTTATTAAAGCAAAAATTATATGTAAACAATTTACCGTTTTTTCATACAACTAAATAAAAGGTTTCAAATTTATTCAAACCACCTGTATGTAATTTATACAATGTATGTAGTATAATAAGAAAATTATTAAATAAGAAAAAAGCATAAGACAGGACTCAAAATGTACTAATATTAAAAAAAATAAATGAATCTTATAAGAAAATTTGCGTGTTCCATCAAACCTCATCACTTGTTATTTCTTTGAATTAGTACTAGTACGACTTAAACCTGATAGCCGCCACCTCTTTGGTCGGTTTGCCATCAATACTGCGTCGTTATCGTTTTCCATTTCCTGAACTGGCAACTTCCTATTGACGCCTGGTGTACTTGTCTCAACAGCATTTTTAATAAACTCCCCTAATTCTGGTGTCGTAGTCTCGGTTGAAATCTCTAGTTTTCTAATTATTGAATACCCAAACTTACTTATGGGAAAATTCAAAGTTCTACAAGAACTATCATCCACTTTCATTGAACTTCTGGCCATCAGACAAGCAATCATCCATGCATCTGAAATTAAGCTAAAAAATTTGTAGTTTTCTCTGACAGCAAATCTGCTCTAATTTTAATCAAGAAGAAAGACCCATTCAATAAGTATGTCTTCGACATCTACAACCTTTTAAAAGACCCAAGCATTGAAAAATGCCACATCATCTGGATCCCAGGTCACTGCGGTTTTAGTATCAATGAAAAAGCTGACTTCCATGCTCGTCAAGCTAGGTTCGATGGTACAGTTTTGTCCCCCCAGCGAAGCTTTTCTGCTAGTCAAAAAACTCATCACAAAAGAATGGAAAGATGAGTATCATGTTTTAGCTAGAGAAAAAAGTGACCGGCTGTTCTACAAAATTTACCCTTTTTTGACACCCACGCTTCTACCTAAAGGAAAATTCACAACATGGGAATTTAAAGTTCTTCATCGTCTTATGAGTAATTACACCTACGACAAGGTCTATTTTAAAATGATCAAAGTCTCCTCCTCTGACATCTGTGAGGATTGCAATATTACTGAGTCTGCCGAGCACCTTATTTTTGAGTGCAGGACGTTTGACATCCTTAGACAATCTTTCAGTATATTTAACCTGTATAACAATTTATATGAAATTTTTCGTGCTGGTAACTTTAGGCATTTGAAGCAACTGACTGCCTTTATAAAATTAGCTGAGTTTTCGTTCTAATTTTACATTTAGTATTTCTATTACAATCACGAATCGCCTACACTTTTTCTTTTATCGGCATTATTAGCCGGATCTTGACAGTACAGTACCAAGTACGGTGATTTATGGATTGACAGCGGAACAGAGCCTCTCATTGCGAACACTCTGCCACATCAGTCTACCTATGCTTAAATTTTTTCATCAATCGCTCTCAACTTCGTTTCTGGATTATGGATCTAACATTAACTTAACTAGTCCAATCCATCTCTAAACAAAAAAAAAAAAAAAAAAAAAAAAAAAAATATAAAGCTTTCTGCAGTCAAATGTTTTTTTTATGGATTTGGTAGGCAACTGTTTGAGACATACACAAATATATAAACAAATATTCGACATGCTTAAATCGATAGGGAAAAATTCGGTCTCAATTTAAAATACGTGAAATCTAAGTTCAAATTTCGTCCATTTGTTTGCTTTCTTTTGAACTTATAACCAATAATCGAAAAAAAATTTCGGAAATTTTTTAATTTCACATGAACTAGCGAAAATTTTTGCTCTATTTCAGTAAGTCAATTGAATGCTCAGCGAACTAGCAGATTTCATACTACAATAAGTAATACAAAATTTCAGCTTTTACATGTGAAACACGCGAATGAAATATTGTTAGAAGGGTTAATTGGGCTGCTGTAATCCTCCAATCGATTTTTAGAATAATTAAAACAAGGAAACTTAAACTTATTACGGTCCTAGTTTTGTGCCGCAACAGCGGTATAGGGGAATTTTTCAAGACATTCTTCGATGAACGAATAACTTAAGAACGTGAATGTCAAGAACTCCCCTTAGGGCGCGTGTACTTTTCAAATTTTTTTATTGTTTATTTATGTTTATTGCTCCATGTTTCATACGCTTACATTAACAAAAATTATTTTTATAAAAAGGCGACAAAAACAAATAACTTTGTCATGGGCGCAGCTCAAGTTTCGGTAGAGCGTTTTTAAAATATTCGGCCTGCTGTGCCGCGTGACAAAGAATTATATTAAATTTAAAAAAGAATGAAAGCAATAAAAAAAAAGTTTTGCACTTGACATAGGGCAAAAGAAATAAAAAAGGAAAGGTTCAATCAAACCTTTCAATTAGCTCATACCGTGTATGCCCGTTTGTGAGGTCTGCTGTCCGTCCTTAGTCCGTCAGTAATTGTTACCAGTCCTCCTACCTTTACTCGCGCGTCCACCCACTCATTCCAATTTTAATTTTTATTCATTACCGCTGGCATTTTGATTAACATTCAATAATACCTGACGGTTGAGAGATGAAGCGGCAGCTAAAGATGTAAAATCTTCGTGAAAGACACACGATGTCGCTGAAGTGTCACAAGAGCAAATGTGGGCGCAACACCTACAATTTCGCTATCCTTTCTAGGAAAGGCAGGTGGCAGGTCAACCAGAAAAGTTATTAAGTGGTAATCAATTTGCTCAGCCGCCTTAACGAACGCCATATGTTAATAGTAAACCTCTTTGTGCTGGCACGTTTACCGCTTTTCCTTTTCACGATAGTTAGAGCACAACCTCAATACCTTGCCAAAAAAAAGTCTTCCTTCTTGTTTTATTTCACAGCTTTTCTGCACATATATTTTGCATTTCAACAACATCGACTTATGGTTTCAATTGTATCAGGATATACTCTTATATTTTTGATAACATTGATTTGCTGATGACTTGTTTTATCCACAAATTATTTAGAGAGCTTGCTTTCAACAAAAAAAGGTTCATCTTGCCTGAGCCAATGGAATTACCATGCAACGTACAAATTCTGGTATTCTGTTGTCAAGAAACAATAAACACACAACTTTATATATATGTGTATATGTAGGCATAGATTTTATTTTCAACTTTAATTAACGTACAATTATATATTAATTTTAAACACAGGAATTAATTATTTATAAATTTTTAATGGCTCTTGTTAAGATTTTATATTGTGTTTCTTTTTATTGAAAAAACAAACATTTTTTTTTCTGCTTAACCTTTACTCTTCTTCTTTACGAAATTAAAGCATTATAGTATTTCCTTCTTTTTTCCAATAATCTTTTTTTTTTGTTTCTATTTTTGCGTTAACAAAAGGACGTTTTTACAATAACACTAAGAAAATGCCTCACACTATTTGTTACCGAATTTCTAATTTTTTTCCATTTTATAAATGGTGCCTTGCTGCTGCTATCCCTTTTTTTGTTGAATTTTCACCATTTAGAGTTTTTCGAAAATTTTATCACTTCCATTAGAAGAATAAATAAAAAAAAACTTTACTTTTGCTTTATTATTACATTATTTAAGTTTCAGCCATTCACTTATTACATTTAGATCTTCCAAACAAAATAACGACCTCACTCTTCAGCAGTCAAAAATATTCTCTCTCTCGATCCCTTTTTGCATAACGGCAAGCCGCAAAAAAATGTCATATCGAATAACGGCATGCCGTTATTAGGATATTATTGGTCAAAGCAGACCGACAGAATCCCTACTCAATATTCGTACGTGGACGTTACAACTTTTTAATGTTATATTAGTACCGTATTCACCTTTGTAAATAAACTATAGAAGAAATTTTTGAAGACTGACAGGCGGCAAGGGAAAGGCAGGAAAGAGATTGCGGAAAGAGGCACTGCGGGTCTAGTTCGACGAGGTGTACACGAATAAGGCGGCGGTGTATTCACGGCGGAGGATATGCTGCGGGGATGCGACTATAGCAACCAGTCCAAAATGAAGACCAAGAAACACGGCACTATCCTCATCTTCGCGGAAGTCTGTTGACCGAATTCAACATATTGCTCAACAGCTACCCCTGCACATCTATTAAGGCAGAAATAGGGCCGCTATTAGAGGTGAATTTCCAAGCCACAGATGGGATGGGCTTGGATGTGAGGGCTGTCGTCTTCGACTGATTTGCGTCCAACAAACGATTTCTTGTCAATTTTGTTAACGGAGTATACAACAGGCGGCGGGCAGACGGCAGCATACATCGGGTACGCCTAATGTACGACTACCCCCACATAATAGACATTCCTGACTAAAAATAAGATGACAAATGACATGCACGACGTCACTCTTATAACAAAGCTGGTCCAAATGACAGCGCCCAGCTCTTCATTCTGGGAACATTGGTTGCAAATGATGAACGATGTGCAGGGTGCAACTCTACAAGCGGCAATCGACAACGAGGAGATCTCAGACGAGAACGGCTCGGCGCAAAGGACGTGCGACGTGACCACAATGTTGAAGTTTTCGAACGTCTTCCACCGGAGCTCCATCAACAGCGGTACACGGATAGAGCTCAAATCTGAACTGAAAGACGTGCATGAGTGTCTATCTGAAAATTTAGAGGCGAACCATCTGGCGGTGGAAACCCGGCTAACAATCGGAAACTTCGCAGCACTCATGGATGAGCTGCTGGAGGTTTACCCTGGCATATAACTATGGCGCCATATAGGGTAAGCCAGGATCTGTTCGAAAGGTTCTTTCTTAACATGGCACTGAGCAGCAGGAAAAGGACCAGGTTAACAGAGGAAATAGCGGCGCTAGCAAAAAAACTGATGGCCCTTTAAGTGAAACGATGGGCAAAAGATGTCAGAACGACTACCTCCGCGTGTCCTTGCAATGAAGCAATATTCGCTATATTCCAAAGATACGTTTGCATTTATCTTTACTCATTGTTATTTATAACTTATTTAATTATTTCTTTTTAATTTTAGACTGACAAATAAGATGTGCCGGCAGACCATAATAGCGATCATCCATGCCTCTGCTCGTTCAGTCCTTCGCGCGTCCATGCCTCCGTGCGATCGTGACAGCGATTATTATTTTAAATTCTTATAGATGCATTATTTTATTGAAAATCGCTATGCTTTCGGATGTTTGGCTTCAACCCCTTGAGCTCGAATTTATTTCTCTTAGAAAAATCGCGATTTTTTTTTCAAAATGACGTTTATTTTTAAAAAAGTTTACAAAATCACTAATAAAAATTTTTTTTTAAAAATATAATCCCTAAAAATTAAATTTATATCGAGAATATAGAAAGAAAGAAAAGAAAAACATTTGTAGACGTTGTCATCGTAGCAAAAAAAAAAGTAATAATGAAATAACAACTTTGTCCATTCGGCGTCTTTTTTTAAGTCTTGTTCCAAACCTAACTGCTCCGAAAAGCAAGAGAAATTTAAATCCAAAGTAGACATAAAATCCGATCGGCATGGCGGCGGCTTGGGTATACGTTGACGGTGAACCATGCAGCCTTGCGGTATTCCCGAGTTCTCTACTTTCGGTTCTAAGACCTGCATAGTACCGTCTTCTAGACAATATAAAATTTTAACTTTCCGCACTTGAAATGGTGCCTGATATACTTCCTGTAAGGTTTCTTTAAAATAGGCATTAAAACATAAAACGTACTTATCATAAGCTAACCACGGCGGCAACTTAGGTCCTATTTTTGGTGGATAAATAGATGGTGCTGATACTGGCGGACAATTGGGTTCGATAACAAAACCACTCGAATCTACTAGACCGGGCGGTTTGCGATCTGACAGCATAGTAATACCCTGGTAATTCATTAAGATGTAGGCAATTTTTAAACAAATTATTGAGAATAAGAACGCTTATTCTCAGATGTAGGCAATTTTTAAACAAATACATTTTCAAGTATTGAGAATTGTAAACAAACAAGATATAGGCAGATATAGGCAATTTTTAAACAAATTATTGAGAATAAGACCATTTATTCTTGTTCCCCTAGCGCTATCAACACTTTTGTAGGGGGTCTTATGCAATAGGATTGTAATACCAATCAATCAACAATTTATAATTCACTTTCCCAGATGTATGTAGCTTTACACGAGGAAGATCTTTGGGCCGGTTTATGGATGAAATATGGCCAGTATCCGGAGATAATTGTCGCTATTTGTTATGAACAGATGGGCTTCTTAGAGGAGACTCATGGCGCGTATGATTTGGCCATGTCCACCTATCTATCGGGTGGTCCATGCGATACAAATATGAACAGTGAAGTTAAGCTTTGGGAATAACACTGGATACATTGTGCTAAAGAACTCAACCAGTGAGAAAGATTGCTAGATTATAGGCGAATCGCGAGCAAAATGAAATATTTATTATGAAGGGTGCTTGGTGTGTTCCCGACTGGAATCTTATGAAGAATATGTTATTGAAAATTGAAAAGGCCTACTCAAAATTGTATGGCTTCAAAGTTAATCTTTATCGCGGTTTCTTAGCTATTTTGCATGCTGAAGGAAGGCATCTGTGCAGTGTTGATATTAGGACCGTACGGCACTCATATAGGTTGCCTTGGATACCGCAATTGCTAAGCTGTAATATTAAATCTCTTAGTCGTGTAAGTCGATTAGTTTGAGAATATGCGCTCAATCGAATCATTATTATCGCAATCGCAGGTAGGAAGACTATATCCCCAAGTCCTATTAGAACTTTGCCTTTAACGTCAAAAATTGAACAAAAGTAAAAACACAAAACAGCTAAACAGGCCTCCGGTAAACCGGCCCATTCCCATGTACGCACTATCTAATCAATTTAATTCTTTTGTCATTAAGATCGTTCCTTTTCTTTTTTCTTTTGAAGAATTTGGAAAGCAGCGCAAACCAAGTTTTTACATGAAGCGCCTCCTAAAATCCCGCTGCAGGTCCAGCTTCGGTTAATCCGATTAAAGCTACCCCTCGCATGTGGCGATGTTCGAAAGCCATGCACGTATAAAGGGAAATTCATCCGATTATTTTGAGTTCTTTAGAAGGCATTGTCGATCAAATGGTTTGGTTTACATAGAGTTGGATCGAGGAAGTTCTACGACAGCTGCGCCAAGGCTTTATTAAATGTTATGCCATTGCTTTTGAAACTCGAAGTACAGTTAGTGAAGCGGCAATTGCTCCGCATACTTTACATTTTGCCAAAAAGTTGGGTCCCACATTCGGCATTGGTATCGAAAACATACCAGGTTCTGTGGCTTCGTCAACATCGAATTCAGCAGCTTCCGAATCTTCACCATGTCATGTTGAATTATTATTTCGAAGAATAAAAAGAGACTACGAGAAGATTTTTGAAAGTTACTGTAACACGCGTTGTACCTATTTCGCCACAAATACGTTTAGCGGAAGATAATCCGGCCAGCATATCTTTGTATGAAATTTATAAAATCAGTTGCGCTAAAATGGAGGTCGAGCATGATTTCCCGATCATGAAATATTATGAGCGTTTGTCGGAAGTGCAATAGAAAGGAGGAGGAAAATACATTGCCCAGAAATGGACAAACTGATGTCGCCAAGCACACCTCTTAATTTGCCGCTCTTACGTATTTTTGTGAAACCTAGAGGCAAAAGAACGAGGGGAAACCAATGGGTTTCAGAAAAATGAAGAGGATTGCGTTAATAGGCAAAATGAAAATACGTTCGATTCTAATTTGCCATTATTGAGCATTTTTGAAAAAACTTTCAAGTCAAAAACTGAATAAGATATTGGATAGGAATCAAACAATGGACGGAAACTTATTAATATTAATAATGATGCTAACGTCGTACAGAAAACTAAAAAGAACATGAATAGCCAAACAACGGTGGCAGATAAAGAGGATAAAGAGTATCAAGTATTTTAGCAAAACCTTACAAAGTGCAAACTGAAGGACGGGTAATCACGTTCATATAAGTTTTAGACTGTTTGAGTAGAATTACCTTGAAATGTGCTTGCTGTTTATTGTCGGTGACGAAACTATACTGAAAAGTGAATGTGGTTTATAATTTTTCATGAATTTCAACTCATTCTGATATGGCAACATCATTCGTGTTTTTTTTTTGCTTATACTACAACATTATTTAATTTTTCCACACTTTCTTTTTGGATACTTTTATTTAATTTAGAAAGAAGTTTCCGCATTAATATAGATGCCTTCTATCCGAAAGTCCGAATATACAATTTTTTTACTTCCGTCATTTTAATGCTAGTCGATCCTATCAGCAAAAAAGGATTTGTAAAACATCGATTAAAAAAACAAAGAAATACGCATATAAACTGTTTTTAACGAAAAAAAAAAAATTTAATTTGAAAAGGTTTTTTATTACACCTAGTAAATAGAAAGATTAAGTACCTTGAAGACAATGGGAATAAATGTCAAGTCTTATTTATACTACATACTTTTTATGTACGTATAAGTTTAGGAAAATCTACATTTTTAACTTAATAGTCTTTGGTCTGAAGTTTGTGACATTTGCCACACAACTTAAAAGAAGAAGACATCTGTATACACAATTACAAATTGCTACTGCGTACATTGCGTACGCTGATTCAACGCCTGTTTATAGGCATGACATTGCATGTAAATATGATTACATCTTAAACCCAGCAGATTATTTTGTTTGAAACAACAAACACTTGGTTGTAATAGTCTTTTACTTGCATAAAGCAGAGAGCCTGTTGTTAAAATAACAAGAGGGCAACAATCTCTATAAGAATAGAAACACGAATTGCTAACCAGGATTAACTTAATCCTAATTAATGGATAAGGTGGGAGGAGGATTAGCTGAGCCATTGATTCCAATGAGGATGCTGGAGGGTTCGACGATACCGCTGAACTGGCCGAAGATATGGAAGCGTTGCGTGGCACTGCATCATTTTTAACCGATCGGCCTCCGTTGTTCTTGCTAAAGGTTCAAATGTCTTGTGCAAATATTTGGAATTATTCTAGCTAGCTGCCGTTCACGTTGCCACGGTTGTCCTATTATAAGGCTTTGATGTTACGATTGTATTGCTGTTATCACTATTTTTGCTCTGCTGTTGCTGTAGTTTAGACTTATCGTTAAACCTTAAGTCATAGTGTTTTAAGCTATTTAAACTATTTTCACGTTGTTGTTGTTTTTACAATTGCTAGTAAAATTGCGAATGACTAAGTTTATGGAACACATCAAAAATGAATTTGGGTAAAAGAGATAGATAAATATGATTTAACTGCATTCTGAATGAGATGTATTCCTAGACAATCAACTGACATTTCATAATGGCATTAATAACGACAGAAATAAGAGCTTATGGTGGCATTTGCAGTATCGACAATAATATATGTATAAATAAATGACGAGAAATTCACGAAAAGCATTTGGAAAACATTAAAAGCGAGAAAATAAATAGTTGATAAAAGATTGCGGAAGCTTCAGTAAATTTGTCAATCGGAGAAAAAACGTAGCATAGACAAGGCGTGTACTTCAGGATTTCTTTGTCGCTTATGTTCAGAAATACATTGCATTGTTATTCACATATACGGGGATCAAGGACAGCGCCTTTGTCTGCTGGAGAAACTAAACGGCTGCTTGCCAATTACGGTAATTTGTTAGAGTTAAAATTTTGTGTGTGGAATATTAAAAATTCTCTTGTGATTCGGACTTTGAAGATTTCACCAACAGATCCGCTATCTAAAATAACGAATAGTAGCCACACCTCAAGGGAGCTGGTTGTGCAGTGATTATTCTAGTGGGTCAACAAAGGCGTTTTGAAGTTTTGGAGTTATGTTATCACATCTTAAGGGTGCAGCGTGCTGATGGCAGAGGTGAAGCTGTCAAAGGAATTGTAAGTTTTAGTCTTCTAACGGTTGCTTAATTTTTCATATTTATTGAATTATTTATACCTAATTTTTACTACCATCACCATTAAATATTCTACACCACGTTGCTTAATGCAGCTATTTGTCCAACGACTTTTCAAAAGGAGTGTTTTTATGGGAAGTGGTCGAAGAAGTTGTCCGATACATTCGCCCAAATACGGGTGACATGGGGTGTAGAAGAGAATTGTTAAGCGAAGCAAGTATTTTCTTATTAACTTGATGGCGATGATGGCGATGATGACGATGATGATAAAATAATTCATTAAGTATTAACAAAAATGCACTTTCAGATTCCGCGTAAGAAGAGTAATAATTCATTCACCAGCTAACTGTTTACCAAGTGTACACGTCATCAAAAAAGTACAAAACATTTGGGGTACCCGCGAGTAAATTCGTTATGAGCAATAAATAGTGACAATTTGTTGGTTTAGAGGAAAACTCAAATATATTCGTAAACTTCAAGATGTTGGGAAATGTTTTGAGGCCAAGTCGAAATAAGGGGAGTAAATTAAATTTTATAAAAAAAACGCAAATGATATAGGAGGAATTAATTCACCAGGGCGTGTAATAATCATTTTAACACCTTGTAATATTCTTACAAATTATATTTAAAACCATAAACGAAACTGAAAAAAAAAAATAAGAGGAAAAGTATAAATTTAAAAAATACTTTTTCAATTTTTTAACAAATTTTTGATTTATAAAGTTGCAATTACACACTGCCCACAAGTAAAAAAAATCAAAGATAAAAAATAAAAGTTATCATTGAAAAAGAGTTCTTGATTTTTTCATTTCAAATCGAGAAATTTATATACAACTTAGCCAGCTTACAAAATGCCCGTCTAAGTGGAAGAAAAATATCAAACGGCTTTCATCGAAAGAATAAACTAATAATTGATTGAACTGTTTGACATATAGTTTGCTTTTAATTGAAAATTTTAAAACAATCTAAAAAGTAGTAAAAGGCAAATATTTCAGAGGTTTCGAACAGAACAGTTTTTGAACTTTAGACCGTAGCGCTTTTCAGAGAGCACCAAATTTTCTTTTTTTCTTTTTTTGCTTATATACAATGATGATCACCAAGGATGACAGATAGAGAAGGAAAAAACGTGAACGCAATAAATAATTATGCGCGAAAAAATATGATTACCAAATGCTTTCTCTTTATACCCATCACCAAAGGATGAGAGGTGTATTCATTTTGTCAAAACGTTTGCCACGCCCATTAGAAAACTTGGGAGACTCCGCAAAGTATTGTGAGGACGTTTCGTCCCTTTCCTAATGGCTGGCGGAGCTCAGCGGCCCAAGGAAGGAAAAACACAAAACATTTATTGGTTGCAGGAACCTTTATTTCATAAATTTCACTTGACTTTCTTTTTTCCGCTAACTTCCTAAATACTTCGGAGACAAGAACTCAACTCTTCACGTCGAAGACTAAAGGTCGACTCCCCACGTGGACGACTAACACTCGACTAACTTAACCTCTTTTTATATCCTACTCTTAACCTATCCTTAGCCTACGCTTAATCTACCCTATTCTATTCTTAATCTATTCGTATTCTATCTTAATCTATTCTTATTCTATGTCTATCCTACCCTTATGCTAGGCCTAGCCTATTCTTATGCTATGCCTATCTTATTCTTATGCTATGCCTATTCTGTTCTTATTCTATCTTACTCTCTAGCACTCACTCTCTTCCGGCCAAAGACGGAGAACCGGTGAGGCCCAAACGAGGGACGACTTTGTGTCCTCACAGTATGTATATTCTTGATCAGCACCAAATTCTAAATCAATTTAAGCATGTCCGTCTGTATAACATCTATTGTAAGCATTCTCCTGGCCGCAAAAATGAAGCAATTGACTTCAAATTCGCACGCAGTTTGGTATTGAAGATGGGCTACATGGGTCAAAGGAAACGCGTACAGTACGAGAGAGATGGGAGCACTTCTTATTGATATGACTTATTTCCCTCTCTCTCTCTCGTCCTCTCTCTCTCATTGCGTCTTCCATTGTATATAAATACACTCTTCTAAAAAAAACCTTATGTTACAATGGTAAATAAATTTCAATTTCAAGTGCAAATCATGATTTTTATATAGGGATTAATAGTTTTATAGTTAAGTCCCACATAGACAGGTACCTCAAGTTTGGGGTGTAAAACGAAAGCCGATCGATGTTCTAATTATAGATTTTCAGTATGCAACGCTCTGACAACGGCAAGTTGTCAATATTTTGGGGTTTGTTAGGATAGCATCACGACAAGCATTGTGTAGTCATATAACTGAAAAGAGGAATTTCTTAAGAAGGCATGCGATTTTAAATTCGATATTGATAATTTCGTTCTTAATCCCGTATAACTGTATGATGTTTTGTGGTACCATATACGTCGATGACAACATGTAATGCGGTCTTCTCAATTGGTATATCTTTTGTGCAAGGCCCCCGATCGATTCCATTAATGATAAAATGTGTTTTGGCTTTGGTTTTATCAGCTTCGGTTGGCACGAACACGACGCCCTTTTTCTGTTAATAATATGCCCAGATTATAGTCTCCGCTACCGTTAACATCGACCACTGTGTGTCTTAGTAAACGTTTCGGAAACATCGCCCTGATCAAATCTTTATACTGTTCCCTTACTTTTTGCCCCTGGTCATAATTACCATTGTTGAGACTATCTACGATATCCGGGGAAGTTATTGTTAGTGTTGACGTTCTTCATACGTAAAGGCATATATGGGCGAATTTAGCTGTATTTAACGGTAAGTATATATGTTATGAATTAAAAACATCCCAGTTATACAATTAATACTCATAGTCTTCATTGCAAGTCCTTTTTAAAGACGTCTTGTCATCTCCGTCTTTTTCCTTGCCACCCGATAATATTTTGTGTTCTGTTTCGTCTTCTTTAATACGTTACAGTTCCCATTTGATAACAACTTCAGCTAAATCCACTGCTAGTTTCTTATGTTCCAGAGAAGCATTGGGAAGGAAACCCAAGCGTTGCGTATAATTGACTGGATCGCGGCAATAATTTGATGAAACATTTGAGTAAAGCACACTACCTTTTGTTTATATTCGCCCCCTTTAATGGCAGAGAAAAAATTCCTATCTTCCTGCAATCCTGTATCGAGATCTCCAGTATTTTTTGGCAATGTTGCAAAGTATTTTCGATTGACATTTCGTTAAACATTTCTGCCAGGGTATTTAGTAAAGGCTTGATATAATTTTAAATTTATTTTTATCAACTTAAATAACCGCATTGAACCTTTTCATGCATTGGAAAGCGGCTTTTTGCAGTTTGGGTTTCTTCTGTTCCAGCAGTTTAAATAAAATGGCTATTATTTTATCCTTGTGTTGACTTTCAACAAGCAGCCAAAGCTTTCAAAGCACTAATTCGCAATGGTATTAAGTTGGTTGGTGATTTAAATATTTGAAAAAAGGAAAAGAGGTTTAATAAAGTAATACAATAACCAAAGAAAACAATTTTAAAGGAAGAAAAGGAGGGAAGGAAGAGGAATCTCTCGTGAGGGAAAAATTAAGAAGCAATACATATATTCAATTTTTTTTTTTTCGTTGTGATTTTTTCTTTTTTTTTTTGTGTTCCCCGTGATAACAACCAAAACAACATCAGCCCGTCTCCCTATGGAGACTGATCTTATAAACTGATAGAGACTGTCTTGAAGATTTTTACATGAACGCCACTGGGCACACCAAGAGATCGAGAATGGGTGAGAATAATATTCTTTTATCTGCTAACAGAGAAGATAACGCAAACGTTTTAATTGCACCTAGTAAACACGCTATCGACAAGCCCTCTGATTTGGGTGCCACAGCCGCCCCAAATCTCGAGATCAATTTGTACGATTGCCTTTCGAACTGCAATTTCGTCGTTTTTGTCGAAACGTGCGCAGACGCAGAAGGAAATCGCATCAATATTAACTCCAATCTCTATTTTTATGATTACTTGAAGGATTTCAATATGTACGGCTTAAAAGAATTAAAAGTTGTCAGCAGGGGCAGAGCCAAACTGCTTTTCATCTCTGCTGCCAATGCCAACGATTTCGTTACGAATAATGAATTTACTAAAAAGAATTTAAAGGCGTACATACCGAGGTCTTTTACTGAGAGATTTGGAGTCATTCGAAACATCCCATGCACATATAGTGTCGATGATATAATTAAAAACACCATATCATCAAAGATGAGAGGATTCCCACAACCAGCATCAAAATTGGCTTCAAAGGGAGAGCCCTCCCTAAGTCAATAAAATTTAATTATTGTTATCTGTCGGTTGAGTACTTTGTACCCACTTTACAGCAGTGCTTTAAGTGTGGTAGATTCGGTCACGTGTCAAAATTCTGCAAAGCCAAAGAGAGCAGGTACCTTGACTGTGGGAAGTCTTCGAAGTGTGTGAACTGCAAGACGATCAAGTGCTTGTCCTGTGGCTCAAGTGAACACAACACTCTCAATAAGTGTTGCCCTAACAGGGAACTTGAATCAAATATCAACAGGATCATGGCAATTAAAAATCTTTCGTATAAAGAGGTAAAAAAGAATTTTTCCGCAAATTATTTCGAATGTCTCGATGACATCACTTATGACGACAATTTCGCTCCACTGGGCAACACGTCTGCAATTTCGGCCGAGGACGATAATCAAAACGTCAACAAAATCTTAACCAAAAATAAATATAATGCTGTCGTCAAAAGGAAATCGGTTCCTTCCAAATCTCCTTTCAGTTCACCCACATCAAGCCTTCTCCCAATACACCCCCCAAGTCGTCTGGAACAAGTCTTCGGCGACCGATAATTTCAAGCAACTATTTGCGGTCCTCAGAACTTGAAAGATTAATTCTCGCTATTCAAGAAAGCATCCGTCCGATGATCTCTTATAAACTTATTAAAGAACTTGAAGAAAAAAAGTCTGTCTATGCCATTTCTTGCCCCGTTCAAGCATCCAGTACTACGAGGAAATCCGTTGGGGTTCTTTCTCAAGTTTTAACATGATATCCTTTTTACAATATAATATTCAAAGTGTCCAACGTAACCTATCTTTTCTGGATTTTTACTCATATATATTAGTTAAGAAAGGTGTCAATTTCAGACGTATTCCCTATAATTCTGCTGTTGACATTATCATCATCAAAACCATCAACCTGAAACCGAATCTTTTCATAGCCTCATGCTACTTTCCACCCAGTCTCGATGTGCAAACCTTTCGTGACGAGATTCAGAGATTATGCGACTTTCTTGACGATGAACAAAATGTGATTCTAGCTGGAGATTTCAATGCAAGACATCGCCTGTATGGCGATCAAGTCTCGACCAACAAAGGCAAGATCCTTGTAAATGGCATCAATTCCAGCAGTTTCAGTGTCTTAAATAATGGCAATACTACCTTTCACTGTAACCGGAGCGGTCGCACGGAAAGCAGTGTCTTGGATCTAACTGTCTCGAATTCAACCATTTTATCTTTCAACTGGAACTGGTCCAATGTTTCCATTGGCAAAAGTCAGCACTTCTCCATTTTATTTCACAGTTGTAACAATTCCGTTAAGAAAATAGAATATTTCATTTCACGCAACT